TGGTCAAGATCACTCAATAGGGAAATAAGTCTATTCAACATAAAGGTAGGAAAAGTGGATGTTCACATGTGAAGATTGAAGTTGGACCCTTACCAAATTAACTCCAAGTGAATCAAAGTCCTAAGTCTAAAAGCTAAAACTATAAAATTTTTAGGAGACAATATAGAGGCAGATATGCATAATCCTGGATTTGGCAGTGGTTTTTTTAAAGATCACACCAAAACTGCAGGCAACAACACCAATAACAACAAAAATAGATTATTTGGACTGGATCAAAATTAACAACTTCTATGGATCAAATAAGACAACCCACCAAATGTGATAAAATATTTGCAAGTTATATATCTGATAGAGGTTCAGTATCTAGTATATGATAATAACTTCCACAGCTTAAAAAGAAACACAGTCTAATTGGACAAAGGACTTTATCAGACATTTCTCTAAAAAGATATACAAAGAGTCAATAATCACATGGAAAGATGATACTCAACATCATTAGTTATTAAGGAAATGCGAACCAAAAGTACAATGAGGTACCTCTTCAAACCTACTAGGTTAACTATAATTAAAAAAAAAACAAGTTGGACAAGAACATAGAGAAATTGGAACTCTCTTTTGTTACTGGTGGGAATGCAAATGCCACAGCCACTGTAGAAATTGATTTAGAGTTAACTCAAAATAGTTAAACATAGAATTACCTTAGAACCCAGCAATTTCACTTTTACATATATAACCAAAACAACTGAAAACAAGAACTCAAGCAGATACTTCTATACAAATATTCATAGTAGCATCATCACAATAGTGGAAATAACACAAGTGTCCATCAACACATGAATTGATTTTAAAAAATGTAGTGTATACATATAATGGTATATTGTTCAGCCATAAAAGGAATGAGGTTCTGATACATGATACAACATTGATGAACCTAGAAGACATTATGCTGAGTGAAACCAGCCAGACACAAGAGAGTAGATATTATATGACTCCATGTTTACTAGATATCAATAGACAGATTTGTAGAGATGAAGTAGATTTAAGGATACAAGGAAGTGAGACGAGGGGTCAACAGAGAATGAATACAGAATTTATCTTTGGGGTGGTAAAAAAATTTTGGAAATCAAAAGAGGCAATAATTGCACAATATTATAAATTTAATTAATGCCACTGAATTTCACATTTTAAATGCTTAAAGGGCAAATTATATATGCTATATATTTTGCCTCAAAATATAGTGAAATCAAGAAAGAAATTAAGATGTTACATTCTAAAATATCCATCTATACAAAATAATGTTAAGAAGGAAAGTGAAAAGAAAACAAATGAAACATACAGGAAAAGGAAAAGAAAACAAATGAAACTTACAGGAAAAGGAAAAGAAAATGGCAGATGTAAATCTAACTGTATCAATAATAATATTAAATGTTCATTGATTGAGCAGTCCAATCAAAAGGCAATTATTGTCAGAATGGGTAACAAAAGAAGTATTGAATCTCCAGCTTTAATGTGAAGTATTTTAATCTCTATGCTTTCTAAGGACACCCAGTTTAGATTGAAAGGGGTAAGTTACTTGAAAATAAAAGAATAGAAAACATGTACCATGAGAACAGTAACCCTAGAGAGCCAAAATAAACTCTACAACAAAAGGTGCTACTAAAAATAGAGGAAGTTTTATAATGATAAAAGGGTAATTCCCTCAAAAAGATATAACAATTAAAACTTAAATGCAGTAAATAATATAGCCCCAAATTATATAAAGAATACCTGACAGAACTGAAAAGAGAAATAGACAAATCAGGAGTAAAAGCTGGAGATTCAATTCTTCACTTTCAATAAAGGATAGAATAATTACTCAGAAGATTATCAAGAAAATAGACTTGAAAAAAAAACACCAGTCATCCTAACACATCTGTAGAACACGCCACTCAACAACAGCAGAATGTATATTCTTCTCAAGTGTTCTTGGAACATACTCTAGGTTAGACAACATGCTACCTGGAAATCAAGCCTTAACACATTTAAAAGGATTGAAAGCATATGAAGGGTCTTATTTAACCACAACGGGATGAAATTAATAACAGGTAGAAATTGTGGAATATCACAAATGTGTGGAAATTAAACTATACACTCAGAAATCAAAGGGAAATTAGAAAAGGCTTTGAGGTAAATGAAAACAAAAATACAACATTAGTAAAACATATGTAACACAGCTAACAGTATTTAGAGGGAAATATTTAACTGTAAACATCAATATTTAAAAAGAAAAAGGTTCCCAAATTAAAAACCTGGCCTTCCACCTTAAGACACTGAAAAAAGAAGAGCAAACTAAATCTAATACAAGTAGAAAGCCAGAAATAATAAATAAACAGCAGAAATTTCTCAAATGGGTAATATAAAACGGACACAAAAAAAATAACCAAACCAAAAGTCAGTCATTTAAAATTGTTAACAAAATTGGCAAACCTTTAGTGCAACTGACTGAGAATAAAAGAGATGATTCAAATTACAAGAATGACATGTGAAAGAGTGATATTGCTACCTTTACAGAAATAACATGGATTGCAAGGGAATGTAAACAACTGTTGAAAAAATTTATATAACTTAGATAAAATGGAAAATTCCTAGGATGACATTAACTACAAAATTAACACAAACCACTACTTCTCTTTCAAGAAGAAGGAAAAAATATGAATTGGCCTATAACAATAAAAGGAATGTCTTAATAATTTTAAAATACCACACAAAGTAGAAGTCCAGGTCCAGATGGTTTCAAACAATTGATGCTATCAACTATCTGAATATATCAACTATTTAAAATATATCAACTACTTAAATAAATAAAAAGTATCAGTTGTTCAAAACTCTTCCAAAAAATAAAAGAGAAAGGAGCATTTTCAACTTATTCTGTAAGGTCATTATTTCCCTAATACCAAAGCCAGACACAGATATATCTATATATATTTTTTAAATCTAGCAACCAATATAATTTAAGTAGATAGATGTGAAAATTCTCAGAATATTACCAAAGCAAATCCAGTCACATATAAAAATGGTTATACATCAAGACAAAGTGGAAATGATCCCACAAATGGAAAGTTGTTTAACAGCTGAAATTCAATTAATATAATACACTATATCTCAGGATAAAGGACAGAAACACATTATAGTCTCTATTGATATAGAAAAGTCATTGGATAAAATCCAACATCCTTTCCTGAATTTTTGTTTAAATTCAAGAAACTAATTTATAGAAGGTAAATTCCTCAATCTAACAAATGACATTTTTGAAAAAGACATAGCTAAAACTATATTTAATTATAAACACTGAATGTTTTTTTCCTAAGATCAAGAACAAGACAAGAATGTATACTCTGACTACTTCTATTCAGCATTGTACTAGAGGTTCAGGCAAGGCCGGTTAGGCAAGAAAATGAAAAAAAAAAAAAATACATCCCTATCAGAAAGAAAGTAAAACTATCTCTATTTGCAGATGACTTGATCTTTTTTATATAGAAAAATCCCAAAGAATTTACTTAAAACTATTTAAAACTAAGTTCAGCAAAATTGCAGAATACTAGATCAATATACAAAATCAATTGTATTTCTGTACATTAGCTATGAACCATCTGAACATAAAATCGATAAAGCAATTTTATTTACAGTACCATCAAAAAGAATAACATATATAGGAATACATTTAACAAAAGAAATGGAAAACACTGAAAACTATAAAACATTGAACGAAATTAAATATAAATAAATGGAGAGATATTTTATGTTATGGATTGAATAATTAATATAAATAAAATACCAGTATTCTCTAAATTAATATACAGATTCAGTGCAGTTTCAATCAATATCCTAGCTGACTTCTTTCCTGATGACAAGCTGATTTCATATGGAAATGATGCAGAATAGCCAAAACAATCTTTAAAAAGAAGAAGAAATTTGATAGATTCACACTTTCCAATTTCCAAACTTACTGCAAAGCAGTGTATAACTGGTTTACGACTAAACAGTTAGGTCCTGATAGATATCCTCACATTTATGGTCAATAGATTTTACAAGCGTCCCAGGACAACCCAATGGGGAGAAATAGTCTCTGAGACAACTGAATATACAGGCATATGCAAAGGAATGAAATTAGACCTCTATCTCACACATACATAAAAGTGTCCCAAATAGTCCTCGATCTAAGCACTAAAACTATAAAACTCTTAAAACATGGAAGAATGAAAAAGTAAATAACCCACAGAATGGAAGAAATTATTACAAATCATGTATCTTATAAAAGTCTCGTATCCGAATTAAGAGCTTTTAAAACTGAATAAGAAAAAGAAATATAACCCAATTAAATAATATGCAAAGTTTATAAATAGATATTTCTTCAGCAAATATGTGTGAATGCCCAGTAAAATCATGAAAAGATGGTTGGCAACAATAGCCAGTAGAAAAATGCAGTCAAGTCATAGTGAAATACCTCTTCACACAGACAAGTATAACTGTAATTTAAAAGAAAGATAATAACAAATAGTGGTGAGGATGTGGAGATATTAAAACCCTCATAATTGCTGCTTGGAATGTAAAATGGTATAGCTATTTTGGAAAAAATATGGCAGTTCCTCAAAATCTTAGACTTGGTGTTAAGATTGAACAATTTTACTCCTAAATATACATATCTAAGAAAAATAAAAATATATGTCCATAGAAAAACTTACACATGAATATTTATGGTAGCATTATTTATTATAGTCGAAAAGTAGAAGTAACCCAAATGTCCATCAACTATTAAATAGATCTGCAAAATGTAGCACATCCATTATTATTTACATCCAATGAAATATTCACCAATAAAAAGGAATAAAATACTGATACATGCTATAACATGGATGAATATTGAAAATACCGGGGCGGCACGGCCACGGCTGCCGGGCGCTGGTCTGGGCGGCGCTTTTTTTTTCCCCCCCTCGCGGGGAACAGGAAACCCCTGTAGCTGGGCGCATTGGGCCGCGATGCAGCAGCAGCAGCAGGAGTCGCCCGGGGGCGGCAGCGGCAGAAGCTGCAGTCGCCGCCACAGAGGAAGAAGCCCACCCAACCGCCACCGCGTCCAGACCCCCGAGCTTGGTTCCCCGCGCCCTGATCCCGGCGCCCCGACCCCCACGCCCGCCTCCGCCAACTTTGACGCTGCCTCGGCAGCCCGGCCCGGCTCCATGCCAATGGTGGAGGCCATAGTGGAGTTTGACTACCAGGCCCAGCACGACGATGAGCTGACAATCAGCTTGGATGGCATCATCACCAACATCAGGAAGGAGGATGGAGGCTGGTGGGAGGGACAGATCAACGGCTGGAGAGGTTTGTTGTCTGACAACTTTGTAAGAGAAATAAAGAAAGAGATGAAGAAAGACCCTCTCGCCAATAAAGCTCCAGAAAAGCCCATGCATGAAGTGCCCAGTGGAAACTCTTTGCTGTCTTCTGAGACGATTTTAAAAGAACCAATAAGAGAGGCGAGCGACTGAGGCGCCAGTGTCAGGTAGCATTCAGCTACCTGCCCCAGAATGATGATGAACTTGAGCTGAAAATTGGCGACATCGAAGAGGTGGTAGGAGAGGTAGAGGAAGGATGGTGGGAAGGTGTTCTCAACGGGAAGACTGGAATGTTTCCTTCCAACTTCATCAAGGAGTTGTCAGGGGAGTCGGATGAGCTTGGCATTTCCCAGGATGAGCAGCTGTCCAAGTCAAGTTTAAGGGAAACCACAGGCTCCGAGAGTGATGGGGGTGACTCAAGCAGCACCAGGTCTGAAGGTGCCAATGGGACAGTGGCAACTGCAGCAATCCAGCCCAAGAAAGTTAAAGGAGTGGGCTTTGGAGACATTTCAAAGACAAGCCAATCAAACTAAGACCAAGATCAATTGAAGTAGAAAATGACTTTCTGCCAGTGGAAAAGACTATTGGGAAGAAGCTACCTGCAACTAAGCAACTCCAGACTCATCAAAAACAGAAATGGACAGCAGGACAAAGAGCAAGGATTACTGCAAAGTAATATTTCCATATGAGGCACAGAATGATGAATTGACAATCAAAGAAGGAGATATAGTCATTCTCATCAATAGGGACTGCATTGACATAGGGTGGTGGGAAGGAGAGCTGAACGGCAGACGAGGCATGTTCCCTGATAACTTTGTGAAGTTACTTCCACCGGACTTTGAAAAGGAGGGGAATAGACCCAAGAAGCCACCACCTCCATCCGCTCCTGTCATCAAACAAGGGGCAGGTACCACTGAGAGAAAACATGAACTTAAAAAGATACCTCCTGAAAGACCAGAAATGCTTCCCAACAGAACAGAAGAAAAAGAAAGACCAGAGAGAGAGAGAGAGCCAAAACTGGATTTACAGAAGTCCTCCGTTCCTGACATACCGTCAAAAAAGCCTTGGCCACCTAAGACCAATTCTCTCAGCAGACCTGGTGCACTGCCCCCAAGAAGGCCAGAGCGACCGGTGGGTCCACTGACACACACCAGGGGTGACCGTCCAAAGATTGACTTGGTGGGCAGTTCGCTTTCTGGCATCCTGGACAAAGATCTCTCGGACCTCAGCAATGACATCGACCTAGAAGGTTTTGACTCCGTGATGTCATCTACTGAGAAACTCAGTCATCCGACCACAAGAAGACCAAAAGCTATGGGGAGGCGGCCTCCATCCCAGTCCCTCACATCTGTGTCGGACAACAAAGCATCCCTGCCACCCACTCCGGGGACCATGGCAGCAGGTGGTGGTGGGCCAGCCCTTTTGTCCTCAGCAGCACCCTCCCCCCTGTCATCCTCTTTGGGAACAGCTGGACACAGAGCCAACTCCCCATCTCTGTTCAGCACGGAAGGAAAACCAAAGATGGAGCCTGCGGCCAGCAGCCAGGCAGCTGTGGAGGAGCTAAGGACACAGGTCCGCCAGCTAAGGAGCATCATCGAGAACATGAAGGACCAGCAGAAACAAGAGATTAAACAGTTATTGTCTGAGTTGGATGAAGAGAAGAATATCTGGCTTCGGTTGCAGATAGAAGTGAATGACATAAAGAAAGCTCTACAATCAAAATGAGTACTTGATCAATGAAATGTCACATTATTCATCCTGAGTCTGAGACTCAAATTTTCTGCCCCAGCCAAAATAATATTGTGCCAAAAGATTAAAGGTTTGCCTCAACATGTCCCTGTTTGAAAGATTAGCACAAAAGTCTTGATAGCACAACACAAATTCCATCCAAGAGGAGAATCTTCCCCAGGGTTTAGTCCCGGGGCTGGCACTTGTTGTGACTTACACAGAGCAAAATTGTGCTAAAGGCTTTTCTACTTTGAGATCTCAATGCGAAACAAAAACTCAGGCAGTTTAGTCCATAGTGGTACTATTTTGATGATATTTTCCATTAATAAAATGTAATTTCAGAAAAAAAAAGAAAATATCTTGCTAAGTGAAAGAGGCCATATTAGAAAGACCACATATGATATGATTCCACTGATATTAAATCTCCAGAATAGAACCCTCTGCAGAGACGGAAAGTAGATTAGTGGTTGCCTGGGCTGGAAGGTTGGGGAGAAACAGAGAATGACTGCTAGCAGGTTTGAAGGGTCTTGTAAGACGGAATGAGACGGTCGGGGGTAGTGAAAATACTCTAAAATTGATCATGGCAATGTTTGCATGTGCCCGTGAATATATTAAAAGAAATACCTAGAATTTTACACTGTATTTGGGTCTACTATATGGCATACAGATTATATCTGAGTAAAGATGTTTAAAAATTAAGGATTTGGGAAAAATTTGAACCCAAAGATGATGTAAGTTGCCTTTAAGTTATACATTTATACTGGAAAATTAATCATATGTAAATGTAAGATGAAGACGATTTGGAGAATTAAATAAAATCTCTATTAAATGTTAGTGAATTCTGGGTTATAATTATATCGGAGTTTGCTACTTTTTTCTTCAAACTGTAGTTTTTAAAAAACTTCAAAAAGTGAAAAATGAAAAATAAAACAGGAAGGCATTTCACTATTATTTTATCTCCCAGGATATTTAAGGTTTTGACTTATTTTCTAAATGTACTTTAAACAAGATCCTTGGACTTATATTTTGTTAATATAACAAAAATGTATTTATCATTTCAGAGATTTCCGCATATTTTGGAACTGGCTCCTCAATGACATATAATTTTCAAGAACATTACACTTTAAGTGAAAACTCCAGCTCCCTCGTTTCTTCATTACACAGAGATGTAACATTGACCAGAGAAATGATCACACTGAGCTTCCGAACCACACGAACTCCAAGCTTATTGCTGTATGTGAGCTCTTTCTATGAGGAATACCTTTCAGTTATCCTCGCCAACAATGGTGAATATCTTTTGTGTAAAGAAAAAGAGAACCCTGAATAAGAAGAATAGGACTGTAATGACATGGGTCTTTGCAGCATTCAGACCACAAACAATGAAAGAAAACTGCATGCCCTCCAACGTCTTTGGTTTTTTCAGTGCCTTCCTTAGTGGTGATTATAAAAGCTAGCATTTCAAGAAACATTTTTTCTCCCATGACATGTTTGATACTTTCAGAGTTGATATGCAATTATACTTTGTATTATTGATAGGATGCCTTTAATAGTACATAATAATCCAAATTGGTTTTGCAGTTCATTTTGAATAAGATATCTAGATACATGTATTCCCTGCTCACTCTAAGCAAAATAGAGGAGCATTAATATAGTACAACTATATAAAAGCCAATTCCTATAAGCAACAAATAAGTATGGTTCTTCTTTATCAGTGGCTGAAAAACTAGTTATATCATTTTTATAGAAGGAAAAGTGAAATGATTGTCTCCCAAACAGTGGCAGTTGGGGTATTCCAAGGCTTTCACAGTTAAACAAGGAGACCGAGCCTTACGCTTGTTAGGTACACAGCACAAAACTTTCATAACTAGAAGAAAATCTACAAAATCTCTGATTAACAGGATCTTAGTATAAGCTGCAAGAGAATTATAGATAATGAGGGTACATCTCTGTAGGAGAGGGGTGTGTGTATTAGAAGATGTAGATATTATGGAAACCTTGCCTCCTAACAAAACCTTTTCTCTTCCTCATTTTTGGATTATGGGAGAAACTTAAAATAATTCTGGCTATAAAAAAATCTTTAGGGCCGGGTGTGGTTGTTCAAGCCTGTAATCCCAGCACTTCGGGAGGCCGAGGCGGGTGGATCACGAGGTCGAGAGATCGAGACCATCCCAGTCAACATGGTGAAACCCCGTCTCTACTAAAAATACAACAAATTAGCTGGGCATGGTGGCGCGTGCCTGTAATCCCAGCTACTCAGGAGGCTGAGGCAGGAGAATTGCCTGAACCCAGGAGGCGGAGGTTGCGGTGAGCCGAGATCGCGCCATTGCACTCCAGCCTGGTTAACAAGAGTGAAACTCTGTCTCGAAAAAAAAAAAAAATCTTTAATTATCCACATCAGTAAAACATTAAAATGAGCCTTATTAGAAGTTGTAATTACAGGAACTGAATGTTGATACAATATTTCATGGAGTTTCATCATTTCATAAAATAGATATAGTCATAATTAATTTATATCTGAGTTCAGAGATCTTATATGCATAATTTAAACCTTTTCATTTTTAAATGAAAAGGTTTGGGGAGTCTGCTTATTAACAACACATTTGGTCTTGACTTTTAAAATAACATCATTGGACTCAGAGTCTGGCACTGGAATAGCACCTAAGTAATCACTATTCCAGGAAAGATGACTATTGGGTGCGTCTAAATTGATGCTAAATCGATTCAAAAGTGCAATAGTAAATAATAATAAAAGTGCTCTAGAATCTTTATCAAGAGTTTTATAAAATACCATTTTAATTTTAAATGCCATTTATTTTTTTATTTTTAGGAAGTTTGCAGATTAGGTACAAGTTAGACAGACATCAAAATCCTGATGCATTCAACTTTGATTTTAAAAACATGGCTGATGGGCACCTTCACCAAGTGAAGATCAACAGAGAAGAAGCAGTGGTCATGGTAGAGGTAGTAATACCAATTCAGAAGTCAAAATAACTAATACTATGATTTTCAGAACAAATAATCTAATGCAAAAATTTGATAATAAATATTAATAAAAGAGCAACCCATTCAGTGCTGCTCTTCCATAAGTCAAGAATAAGAAGCCAAATATGGCCAGGATCTGGGAGAGAGGAGGTGGTTGTTTATTCTGTATTGCTTTGTTTTATTTGTTTAGCAATGTAATTCTGTCGAAGGTATTATTAATATTTTACTATTTAAAATATCAAAATATCTTTATTTGTTTTACTTTACTCAGTAGGGGAATGTTCTCTAGTTTATCATGGTGACTACTGGTGGAATCTATTCATTGATATTGCAGTGGGAACTTGCCCTATTCTGATTATAAAAGAACAAATACTTAGCAACTTAAAAACATGATTTAAAAGCATACAATGTAGTCATTTAAATGGGAATAAGAAAGAAATAACATGAGTCACAACAGAGGAAGTAAATTACACATTGTTGTCAGCATTGGAAAGGAAATATACTTTTAATCTACATAGAGAACAACAATTCTTAGTTTTATGTTTCAAATCTTCTCCACAGAATAAGTATTTAAGTTTAAAAAAGCTGATTCCATCTTTTTCGTGGATCCTGCCAATTATGAAAAAGAGTAAAGCCAGGAAGGGAGTAGATTGTGGATAGAGTGGTAGCTGATGGCATCATAGGATTTGCTTATAAAATAGCTTCCCCTTCTAAGTGATTCATTATCTTGAACTTTTGTAGTGGTACTTAAAAGTGATTTATTTTCGTCTCTTCTTTCCTCGTCTTCCTTTGCTTCCTTACCATTAAAATTGTACTTTCTGTTGATGTTTGCTTCTCATGGGACATCTAATAGGTTAACCAGAGTGCAAAGAAACAAGTCATCTTGTCCTCAGGGACAGAATTCAATGCTGTCAAATCTCTCATATTGGGGAAGTTTTTAGGTAAGTAGAAGGAAGAGCTTTTTCCCCAAAAACATAAATGTCATGTCACAAACTCTGGAAGCATTTATCATGCTGAAAGAAGCTCCTTGTCTTACTTGAATAATAATGTCACTGTGAGTGACAATCAAGGTGCAAACTGTACTCTTGCCTGAGCATACATATAATCATGAGTAAGTGCTGCCTGTGAGATGTGCAAGGGTGTTCCTGGAAAGATACCTCAGTTGGCAATCACGCATAATGAATCACAGTATTTTTCTAATGCTTCTTGAAAAGTGAAATGTTATCAAAGCTGACACAAAGTTCACAGATTATGTATTAATCAGCATCAATCCCAGAGATGGTCATTCAATGATAAAACTAGGTTTGAGTTGAAAACAAGAGAAAAACTGTTTTTCTTCTTACAGCAGATGAATAGAGTTTTACTTCTGTCTGAAGCCCTGCTTTGCCTATTGTTTCCATCCTTTATGACTCCAATATGTAATAGGAATGGGGAGGCATGTTCATAAATATCCATTGTGCAAGGTAGAAAGTTACACTAATTGTCTATCATATTGACAGGACAGTATTTGTAAAAGCACAGGTTAGTTTTACATTTAATAAAGGAACTGTGAAAAAAATCCTTTTTTAAAGAACTATACCTATCTTACGTAAATCAATTAAGAAAATGAACTACATTTAATATTAAGAGGATTAAAAGTAGAATAATATTTATTATATACAATTTTGTTTCCTTCCAAATAAAGGAGAACACGGAGTTGAAGGTGTTAATGTTTTTATTCAAGGGTGGTATATTCAAAGGCATGTAATTCATAGTATCAAAATCTACATTCAAATTCAGCAATGAAGTATATAGTCAGGAGCTACTGGTCTTAGAAAAGTATAAATATTCATTTTGCCTGTGCTTGGAGATAGAGCTAATCATCAAAGATTAATAAAACTCTTTATACTCTGAACAACTATATTTTAGGATTGGTTCTGCAATAAATTTTTTGCCACTGTCACATCATTTAGTAATGATACCAAGTCTATGATTTTATATTTAAATTTGAAGTTACATAGGAAGTTCTGTCTTTAACTTGTAGTAAAATAGACCCACAAGTTGGCAATGGAGAATCCACTAATTTTACAAAGATAGGTACCCAAAACAGTCTGTTCCAAGTTATCGATACATTCTCTTGA